CCCGGCAAATCTCTCGTATATCCCAGCTGCTATGGAGGTGGTTGTATTTGTATTTTTTATAAATCACCCGATATGTAGTTGACCTAAAACTTGTACGATGGCCATCTGTTAGCTTGCCAGTTTCTAGTGATACATTAGTTGACATATTTGTGATCTTCTTTGAATTTCACCTTTAAAGGTGGTGGGTCCCTTTTGCAGGCTGAAAATATAAACTTGTGCGAATCCTATGGTAAACAAGAGATAATACCAACTAAAAACTCCCCTGAAAAGATTATAACACTGGTTATTGCCTGTATGTGGAATTATATGACTGCTAGGAATTTTCGCAACACGCTTAGAAAATTATGCGTAGAATACATTCTGATTTTCAGACCCTTGTACCGTGTGGTTGTACATTTTGTGCTGCGCAACAATTTAATCAGCTTAATTTTGGCCATTACGAGAAGTGGGTCATAAATGGGTACAAATGCTAATGTTCCCTTTACAGCTCATTTTATGTATGTTATTACCAAAGAAAAAAAGAAATCAGTCAGTCACTCTATAGTGTCTCACAGTGAAGTCTAGAAAGTATACAAATTTTCTTGCATAATCTAAATACTAGGACACTGCTAACGCTTAGATTTTACAGATAGGACATACATCTACGTTATTGTAAGTGAAATATTCTTAATTCCTGCAAAGGTCTACAGAATTTGATGTTGGCTACAAAAGGGATACACTACCTTCAAGCCAATTACATTGGAGGCCTTGATTGGCAGGTATATGGTTCGATACTCAGTCACCATTAGATGCACGGGATTATATCAGCATGTATTTAATGCGATGCATTAATAGCACATTATTTTGGATTTGACAAGTGACGTGACAATAATTGTCAGTACCGTTAAGTTTTTTACCTTAGAGCTGGCTTACTAAGGTAAAGTGCTCTGATGTGATCTGAATATGAGTTAAGACATATTACTTAGCCAAGTGCAATGCTAAGCAAAATACTGCCTTCATCCACATACATTAATTGAATACTGCTCCAGCAGTATACTAAATCCAACACAACTCAGGATAAGAGACATTGACATTCATGCTGAAGTTAAATAAAACCTGCAATAGATTCAAACATACCACTTGTGAGTTTGCTGAAATACCAACTAGTCAGTTACATGACTAATCGGTCTCTGAGTTTCAATCTTTAGTCGGCAAAATAGACTATATAGAATCTAATTTTGAAAACAAATAGATTTGTTACAGTATGACCAATGAAGTAGAAAGTAGAAAAAACAAACATACACAAACAAACAAAACAAATATAAGTCTACCTGTCTACCAATTTTGTTATCATTCCGTAAATTAAGATCAGCAGCTTCCAGAACAAAAACACATTGTTATGCAAGGCTCTTACAAATCTATTTATAGACATTTTCACCAAGAAAGGAACTTTGATAAAGGTACAATTGCAGCAACTTTTTCAAATATTCCTGAACTACATCAACTCCGTATTACAAAATTGCAATTTAAAAACAGTTATTCACCGAGTTAGCCCATGACAAAAACATTCCTTGATTTTCCTAAAGCTCCATAAAGGTCAATCATGTGAAATTCATCCTAAAAAACAAAAAACAAAAAACTAATGGATGCACAATAATACAAAGTAATGACTCTCTATCTAAGCATGGATCGACTCTAAACCCTGGTCATGGGTAATTCAATTTGCCCCAAGATGGATAACTGGCGTCTGAGCTGAATATATCATGTCCTCAGCAGAAAGCCACAAGGGCACTAATGGTATGAAACATGTAGAGACTAGATGTCTTTCTGCCTTTAGAGTATATCATATTGGGAAATCTTAAGTGCATTTTTGAAGCAATATTGGATATTCTTGAATGCTACTGCTATGGCTGCAAGAACAAACATTATAACTTGAATATCTAACTTAAATGGTAAACAAATTGTACTTTTAGGGATATACAATATTTGAGAAATTGAGGGGGGAGAGAGAGGGGAGAGAGAGAGAGAGAGAAAGCAAGACAAAGAGATAAAGGAGAAGAACAACAACAACAACAAGAAAAAGAACAACCAACAACAATAAAACAAGAACAAAAGAGAAACAGAATAGAGGGAGAGAGAGAGAGAAAGAAAGAGAGAAAGAAAGAGAGAAAGAAAGAGAGGGAGTTCATATCTAACCTAGATTCTAAAACTTGGGTCTGAGTTATGGAAAAAATGCACACCTTCTTGACCTCCTTGTATTGTCAAATTGAATATTTGATTAATTAATAACTTTGTTAGACTCACGGGTACCAAATTACATGGAGGAAAAAGAGACACCATTTCACATATTTCTTCATGACAAAACAAAATGTTCTGTAGCATCGGTGCATAAATGGCAGATCCTTGTGTCAACGCTATCAGAGTGTATTAACCCTTTATGACTATGTGGTAAGCACTTGACTTTGTGGGGATCCAATACAGTCATAAGGGTGATTTAATGAAAGTTTCATGTGATGACTGAAGAGAGAGAGAGAGAGAGAGAGAGAGAGAGAGAGAGAGAGAGAGGTGGGGGGAGGGGGGGTCGGTATACTTCATTACATGGGAGGGATCAGTTTAGTTAATTACATGAGATCTGTTCAGTGACTATACAGGATAGCAATTATCCAACAGACTGAATGGATAAAGGTCGCGACCACTACCACTAGGCACTATGTCTCTGGGTTATGTACCAATGAAGAGAGGAGACATCTTTCTCCTCCAATATAAGGCCATTATGTTCCAGGAAATGTGAAGGGTGTACAATGCATTTATTACTAAATGAGTTTAGACTGGCATATTGTTATTATTCCCAAATTCATTTACCGGTTCACTGAATGAAAAATATTATATTTAGTGAGGTCAATATATTCACAAAGCTTTAAGCCAGCCAGCCAGCCAGCCGGAGATTGTGCACACAGTGTGTGCAGGCAAGCATTGAATCCAATGACCTGGGTAATAGCATATCTGTAAAGCGCTACAGACATCATAGATGTATTAAGCACTATATAAAACTGGAATATTATGATATTATTATATCTAAGTCTTCCAGGAACAACATGAATCTTGTTTTACCCTAGGCTGCTAAGCTGCTAGCAGAATAATAGGGTATTGAACCCAGGATTCTCCAGTTCCACTACCCGAGGTCTCCAAAACCAGTGCTTAATCTTGCTCTTACAAAGAACACGCTGAAATCACTCTTTAATATGAAAGCGATTGAGCCGACTGCAACATTCCTTTGAAAGTCAATATCCTTATTTGCCTCAATGATCGGGTGGTTAAGCTCCCCTGGCGGTTAATATCACCCGATCGCATCATGTCCGCTGATTAGCCGAGGGATTAAGGGGCAGCCCAATCCGCCTAAGTGCCCCCACATTACACATTCGGGATAGACAAGAGTGTGAGAGCAAGGGAGAGAGAGAGAGAGAGAGAGAGAGAGAGAGGGAGGGGGAGAGAGAGAGAGAGGGGGGGGGGAGAGGGAGAGAGAGAGAGAGATAAAAAGAGAGAGAGACTGAGAGACGAGGGAGATGAAGAGAGATGGAGAGAGATAGAGAGAGAGAGATAAGAGTAAGAGAGAGAGGGAGAGAGAGAGAGAGAGGGAGAGAGAGAGAGAGAGAGAGGGGGGGGGGGAAGAGTATGTTTTATTTGTATAGCTATCAGGGAACACCACAACCCATGTTCCATCTGCTGAGTGAGAGCCAGAGGGCGATAAACTTGATTGTATATCATACGATATAGCGCCCTTCTTGCTCTCAGCAGGCACTTTCTAATGCTGGCGGAAACATCTAGGGGAGTTTCTCCGGGAGGTTGAAATTACTCAAATTACACGTCTGAAATTGCAGGATAATAGGATAGGGGAGATGTCATCTACGCTGCTCTCATGAGAAATTTAATACCGGAAGAAAAAGATTTGGAAAACGGATGGTTTATCAGTTTTAATCTGCTAAAGGGGATGTCTCACGTTCGTCTCCACTATTTACGAAAGAACTGTGCAGAGCAGAGTAATTGGAGGTGCATATTAAAAGGTATTGCTTGATGTCAAGCATAGGCATGGAGACAAAAATGAAAGTACCGCCTGTCTCTCACTAAAATACAAAACACAATTGTAAGTGTTATACTCTAAAAGTTATAAACAATTTAAATCAATAAATATCAGGATGGGTATTAATATTGATTGCAAAAAATTGGGGGATGTTCGAGTAATGGGTGACAACCACTGATATGAAATTTGAGAGAGAGAGAGAGAGAGAGAGAGGGGAGGGGTAGGAACATGTTCGTGGCTTCTTACCACCCCCCCCCCCCCTCCTGGATTCCTCCTAACCATGTCCATTAAACGGGATAGTATTCAGAGGTGGTAAGTCATCCATAAAACTGCAGCAGACAAGCGACATGCCTGGTTTTTAATTAAAACCGCCAGAATGCTCCGACAATGGCAGCTCACGTATACAGAGCCATGCAAAGCAAAGGTTTGTCTTCATGGTCTCAATTTCCTCTCCAATTCTTGATACCAGACCAGAAGAAGACGTCTCCTCTTTCACTATCAAAACAAAAGTCGAAATAGCTCATAATGCTCCAGGCAGTCACAAAACCACAGACTATCTCTCTAGACTTGCTTAAAGTCTCCAGACAACCTATCGTAATAGCCTTCCTACATGCACACTCACATAGGGACTCTTTATATCATGGTTTCACATTAACTTTTCTACACACATACTAACATCCATGTAAAACCTGCTTATAAATTGCATGTATGGGGTCCCTACTTTCATAAGTACTTGTCAAAAGATTTCTGGAATACCCTCACTATTCCTCTTCTTGAAGATAAAATTCACAGCTTCACTGGAAAACAGGTTTTAGCTACATGTATAACGTGTATATTTGACCTATATATTAAGTTATAGTATATATATCAAAACTCATGGAGGTTTCAGGGTAAAACGTATTAGTTTGAATTGACAATGACAAATATTGCTTTTCATACTCACTTGCCCATGAAGTATTGACGCAGCTCATAAAATGCGAGATGACCAGGATAAGAGCATGACCTGACATCAAGGCTATATACATCTGTATAGAAAACAAACAGAAGATGGAAATGGATTAGATTTGGATGAGAGTAGACTAGCTTGGCTCATTAATGGGTTATCATTGTTCACAATACGTGAAATTTATACATAATTTGTAAAAAGTAACATCGTTTAATGAATCATTGTAAAGCGAAAGGGGCAAACATAACAAAATCGTATGCAGAAACGCCAAAGAAAGCAGTTTTGTAGAGGTCAACTGACATGACAGCCAACTAATCATTACTGCACGCTCCCCGCTTTTTTTTTCTCTGATGAAAAAATATCAGCTTTCCCTTATTTCCTTCTTCTTCTCCCACACCCTTACATTATATCGGGTCATCTGACGTCAAGGACCGAGAAATGACCCACTCACCTGGCCTGTATAATATATTGGAAAGACACTACAAAGCATTTCATATCCCACCCAGACTGCGTCTCTGCCATATCCTTAAACTTTCAAACAGCCACAGGATCAATACGCACCTGTCATATAATATGCCTTTAATAAACGCATTAGTCTGCTTCCCTCTAGGCAACGAGAACAATGCCGTGCCACTGCGTTTACCACAGATCTTCAAAGTAGATTCTGACACACTGTTCCCCCACATGACAAATTGGAATTAAACTTTTACTATTTCCATATCGGGTTTGATATTTCAGAAATGCTTTGTTGATTTGTTTTCTTTTCTCTTCTTCTTCTTCTCTCTCTCTCTCTCTCTCTCTCTCTCTATCTCCTCCTCTCCTCTCCTCTCCTCTCCTCTCCTCTCCTCTCCTCTCCTCTCCTCTCCTCTCCTCTCCTCTCCTCTCCTCTCCTCTCCTCTCCTCTCCTCTCCTCTCCTCTCCTCTCCTCTCCTCTCCTCTCCTCTCCTCTCCTCTCCTCTCCTCTCCTCTCCTCTCCTCTCCTCTCCTCTCCTCTCCTCTCCTCTCCCAGGGGTAAAGTGAGCACTAAAAAAAAAATAGGTTATTTGTTTTCCCCTCAACCACGCCCCCCTTGAGTAAAAAAAAAGAAGAAGAGGATTCGCAGGTAAAAAATGGCATCTAACAACATTCCCCCCTTTTGAGTAAGAAAATTGGGGAAAAATAGGGCAAAATAGAGAAAATAACAGGGAAATCAGGATAAAAGAAGGAAGAAGAAAAAAAATCTGGTAAAAAAAAAAAAAAAAAAAAATTAAATCGGAAGAAGAAAAAAATCGGGAAAAATCCAAAAAAATCGGGAAACCGATTTAAATCGGGTTTTTATCAGACTCCTCTCCTCTCCTCTCTTCTCTCTATGAAAGAAGGATCATGGTTATAAAGGTACATGTATATTTATCATCATGACAAGAATGATTTATACATGGATTCAGAAACATGTGCAGGTTTTACAATCAGTAGAAAAGGCCAGCTGGAATTCCCAAGATTGATTCCTAAATTCAGGTATGTATGATGGATAGTTTTCTCTTTGCTCTTTCTCGAGAAGTGGAGAAAATCTCTAATGAGCCAAAAACGGTCTGAGCCAAAATACAATGATTGATGTTTTGCTCTATATTCCCCCCCCCCCCCAAAAAAAAAAAAAAAAAATTGCATACTTGAGAACTGAAGGAGGAAAAAGTAACATTACACAAATCTATTCTGAACAGTCATTCATTTGTATATTTTACTTTAGAAATGAAACAAATACATTTAAAACAGCTTAGCAGCCTTTTAAAAAGCATACTACACTGTATCTATGTGATTTATAAAAGCTAAACTAAAATGTAAGATATGAGCCCCTATATAATCACTAGATTGTGGTTCACAGTAAAAATTACCATCTTTTAAAGTATGATTCTTTAGCATGGTGACATACACTGTACACTTGTAGTTTTATCTTTCATTGATTTCAAGTTACCTTACACTGCAAAGTGATACAAATAAGAACTGATTCATTTTACACTTCTCCATAAACATGCTATGATCTATGGTAGATATTAACATCTAGGTTTTGTGGTATAAACAAAAATGGTGCTTTCTAAAGATTTTCGTCATCAGCTTCCTACCCCCTGTTTTTCTCTCTCACACCCTTCCTCCCTCCCTCCCTCTCTCCCTGTCTGTCTCTCTCTGTCTGTGTGCGTCTCTCTCTCTTCTTGTCTCTCTCTCTCATCTCCTACTTCCTGTCCATCATGAAGACCAAGTATCCAACTACTAGTCCTAATCTCTTATTATTCAGCTTTATGATAATATGAATTTATGCACTATTAAAATAAAAATATTAATAAAATAACAATAAAAACAAAAACACTAATATGGTGCCATTTTCACAAAAATTGCCACAAGCACTGATTCACACATACACAATTACCTTCCACTAGATTTATGCATCCTGTATTGTTTTCTTGGCATATAGGAAAACATCTTCTGAGGTAATATTTGTATAAGAAAAGCGCCATCGTTAAGCAAACACACATATATACAGATGCCGCACACACTGTGTGCTTAAGTGCAATGGAGAAGGGGATGTATGGACAGAGGGCATGGATTCAAATCAATAAAACTCGGGAGTAAATCTTCTTGCAAGTCCATCATACATTTAAAGGGCTGTCAAAAAGCCAGATGCAGGGATAACCCGTTTATGGCTTTCCCGAAAGCACACATTCATTTTTTATATCTTCATATGCAATTTTAGAAAGAAGTACACAATACACATGCAGGCCAGGTAGGTTACAGCAATGTATACCTGCACCATAAAGCAAATTTCTGGTAACTATTTTTTTAAAGCTTTTGACTGATGTGTACATGATATACCATTTTGAAAACATGGCAGGGATTTCCCTCTTTCTTGACTGATAAAAAAAAGGTGAAAATGGATGGTAACTACGTTTGAAGAATTATGTATCAAATGAGAACATACATGTGTATTTTTGGTGAACACAGAAGAACACAGAAGAACACAGAAGAACACAGAAGAGTGCATCCATGTTTCACAGGAGCTTAGCTTCTTGAACCACATGTTCAAATCATTCATTTGTCAAATTATTGGTCTTGTTGCTAGACTTGCTACATAGCTCACACAAAGATTTCTATATACTGGGAGGATCTGAGAAGCATGCTGGAAGTACAAATATAGTTGGGTTTTTTTTAAGATGAAAGACTCCAAAGATCGATAGAATTTGGATTAAAGGCCTGCTTCAGAACAAAGCGAGAGCGAGAGTGAAAGGCTGAAATTTGACCTAATTTGGTTGAAAAGGGCGATGGTGCCGTGGACCGCTTGGTTCAGGTGAGGGGATGATGTAATCAGCGAGCAATATTGGTTTGGAGTAATAGAGCAGATGTGATGGGTTCATAGTAATGGTAAACTAATAGAAATGCAGTGACATTTCAAGCTTCTTTCTTGAATCATGGGCTTTTAACAACATGTATAGGGTTTTGATTTGTGTTTCTTGTTTATATCTGTATGTAGTAAGCATGTTATGTAAAAGATAGTTCCTTTTGGAGACTTTAAATATATTTCAATTCATCACAACCCAACTGTTTGTTTTTTAATGTCTTTTTCTGCTCTTTCTTTACTTTTTTTTCTCTCTCTCTTTCTCTCTCCCTCTCTTTCTCTGTCAACACATCACATTTTATTGCACATGATAATTTGCTACATTAGGATTTTTAATTTGTCGATATTTAAAAAGCTAGAAACCTTGTTATCATGAAACCCCACGTATCAGCCTGTCATATCAACCCCTCCAAGTTTCCATTCCTTTCTAACCGTCTTTCTCATCTTACTGCTAGTTCCTACATCAACAAAACCATCTCAAACTATCTAATATGAACCCAATTCTCACCTAGACAGGGCATCATTGACGTCCAAAACTTTCACTTCACCTAACCACTTTTAAAACTAAATTGGGACAGTGGCTTGTTATCCTTGCAAGCCAGGCCATATGAAATTGCATCACTTTCGGCTCCTTCCGCCAAAAACATTCTAGAAACATCTGCCCCTAGAGCACTCCAAGGAAATTACCAACATTCTCATCCAAGGAAGAAAAAGAGCATTCTAGGAGAGCATTAGCGTGATTGCGGCAGTCCCTCCAGAATATTTATGATGAGAGGTGTTTATAGAAGTCATGATGCGCTACAAAATAACACTGTAAATCACTCCAGTGAGATTTAATAATCAGGCCAGCTGCTCGGTTAAACCCCGTTAGGTGTAATTTTTTCCATCAAAATGTGCTCCAGGAAAACGACCGATGAATCCCGGTTCAAGTGAGTTACAAGTGAGTTAACATCGTCCAGCCATGTGAGAAGAGTATGTAACGTTTTCTTGTGTACAGCAGGGGCTGCCTTTAAAACCTCTACTTGTAATACACAGACAACATTTAATATGAGGGCTTCATACATTAATTTTATAAGTAAATTATCTTTATTTCCCCCATTGTCAATTTTCTTTTTAATTTCTGTAGTGTGCAAGTCGTGACAGTGCCATGAGGAACAGTAAAGTGAAAACTAGAATTTTATCCAAAAAATGCTACTTTCAAGTCAAACTAAAATGTTTACAGATTTCAATATTATCAAAACTCATTGACAGAAATAAATGAAACATATATAGTCTCTTTCATCTTCACTTATGGCAGCACTAGAAAAGATTTCAGGTTAATTCCCACTTGGCCCCCTTCTATTGTATTCTTTGTTTCTTGATTCACGTCTTCCACCCCCACACTTGTTGATGATGGTTTCCACGGTGATGCACCAATATCTCTTCCTGGTTTAACATTAAGCCTAAATCGATGAGCGGCATGGAAATAGATTTCAAGGACTGTTCAATAACACCGGAGCAAGCTGAGGTGACAGAAGACATAGATAATGGAAATCTGTAAAAACCTAAAAGCACTCTATATCTAAAGGCTCATTTGGACATGAAGTAGTAAATTGCAGCATTTTTTGATATTTTTTTATATAACTGTAACACATATATTCACTAAAGCACTATGTTATTAGATACAGAAATAAAAAGCATATTACACTTATATGTCATTACAACAACACAAATTAATCACAATCGTTTACCATGTAATATCTCAACGAGGCTTTAAAGATAATATGTCTCTTTTGCAGCCATTATCAAATTATTTAGAACTTTGCAGGAATTATGAAGATGTCATTGTATGTCCTATCTGTGAAATTTAAACATTAGCAGTGGCCTACTATTCAAATTGTGCAAGGAAACATGTTTACTTGCTAGACTTCACTGTCAGGCACTATTGAGTGACTGACTGACCTGCAAATGGGACATAGTACCTTTAAGGTGAACATTTATCAAATTTATGAATTAATGAAGCTACTTGAATATAAAGTAAAAAGTTGATTTTTTTTTTTAAAGAGGTCAAACTCACCGTAAATAGGACAAAATATTTCTGATTTGATTCTCCAACGCAGTTATTCACCCAAGGACAATGATGATCCATTTTTCTGTAGGATAAAGATAAGATAAACAGAAATATATGCTTGGACATTAGAAGTGACTTTAAATCATCGTTCTGAAATCATGCTAGCACTAACAACAAAAGAAAACTTTTTCATTTGAGATGTAGTAGCACGAAAAGACACATCCAGAATGCAAACTGCATAATTCTTGAAAAACATAATCATTGTATATTGCACAGAGGTAGGACCACATCATTAGGATATCGGACTGGTAAATATATAAATTTAACGACTTCTTTATTTATACCCTTACCAAGTTTTGAAATGTTTTAAGTATGTGAAAAATTGATATGTCCCAATTAACATTTCTTGATAAGGTGACATATTAAAGCTTACATCTGAAATCATTCAACAACAGTCCAAACTCTACCAGTCCAAGTTTCATTCTTGAGTTATGAAAAACAAACAAAAAATCAAATGTACAAAGAGTACAAAAAATGTAGTTGTTCACCGTATACCATCTCAATGAGGCCTAACGTTAGCTAACTTTTATTCAGATATGTCAAATAAAAACTTTTAATCAACAAACATTACTAACTATTTCCAATCAGACCAATCACTTTGTGCCACTACTTCCAATAACTAATGTAGAACATCTTGAAATATTTCCAATAAAAATTGTTCCATTGCCCTGTAACCCCCCTCCCCCCCCCCCAAAAAAAAAAGGAAAGAAAATTCAATGAATAAAAAAAGTATAAGTACATCCATCCATTTCTGAAATAAATTAGACATGAAGATTTGTTTTTAATTCTCTCTGAAAAAGCAATGTTTTCATTGAATATAGGAATTGAAGGATCGATATTCAAACATTCAAGGAATAACCCTTTCTTTCCACTTCACTGGAAAAATATGTCTCTATCATTTATCAATAAGCATTGGTCTACACTGGGATGAAAAACAACAGATAATGTTCTGGAATGACGCATTTGAAAAGAAAAATGCATTTTCATTATAAGACCTACTTTCTAAAACAAAGATAGATTCTTCGAAGAATTGTTGTGGAGAATCATCTGAATATGATCCATGCCCTCTTTCCCCTATCTTTCCGATGCAATCAAAATCAAAGGAAAGAGCACTTCAATCACTGTCATGTTCCCATATCGATCTAATTCATCTACATTACATTTTATATTCAATGTGACTAGGTTTCTGTAAAGTGAAAGTTGGTAAAGGGCACAGAATGTTGGTGCATTCCGATGGAAGTCAGATATATCACATTTATTTATAAATCAAAAAGGGAACTGAGGGAAGGTTACTACTCGCAAGTGATCTCCTGAAGAAGAACGGTAATTCTATTGGTAACGTTTTCTGTTAAAATAGTTTCTGATTTTAACAGAAAGATCTATATCTTCTGTTTGGAGTCAGAAGGGCATTAACTCAAAAAAAATGGCAATTTTGAGTAAGAAAATTGGGGGGAAATAGGGGAAAATAGAGAAACCGATTTAAATTTGGGACTTATCTGGCCTGATTTGTACACATCAATAACCCACTTCTTGAAATGGCCAAAATTAAACTTATCAAATATTTGCGCAGCAGAAAACAGACGATCATTCGGTACAAGGATCTCAAAATTATTTTCCCACAAAAAGACATTTTCCAAGCCCTTTCGTTTTGAAGGAAGTTCTAAATTAGTATCATCTTTCAAATGCCATTAGAATTGAACCCTTTTCATTTTTTGGCCTGCAACTGGGTCATAGTACCTTCAACATAGTAGTTGTCAAAAGCTAGTTTTATAGCCTTCTTCATTTACAATAGATTTCATTTAAAATGAAAAAAGAAGAGTGTTTTAAAGTATCATAGGAACTTTTAGATTCTGCACGACGAGAACGTGGACTGCCCTTTTAAGGCAATGTGACGTCCTTTTAAGGCACTGGCAGTGACGTCACATTACCTTAACAGGGCAGTCCGCGTTCTCGTCATGCAGAATCTAAAGATCCCTAATGATATAACATCAAAAGGTGTTGACTTATTTTTTTTTAAGTACAACTAACCCCCCCCCCCCCCCTCCCAATAACAACAAAAAATCCCAGGGAAATGGGAAAGAAGAGTATGCTATTGACGTGTAAACGGAAACATATCTGACTAAACACACTTCATGACCATCCAGAGAAGACGGTAACACATCTGGCTACAAGCCCTCCATGGTTATCAACGAAAGATGGAAACATATCTGGGCTAGACACACTCCATGGCTATCAACGTTTGAGAGTTGGGTTTCCTAGAGCTTTCAGAGTCAAGGATCTACCCAGGCTATCGACACTGATGGATTGAATGTCAATAAGTGACCAGGAATAAACTACTTCAGTGAACAAGTAAAACGATGGAGAGAAAAGAGAGAAATTGGATAGAACAAAGGATAGAAAAGAGAGAATTAGCATACAACAAAGGATAGAAAAGCGAGAATTAGCATACAACAAAGGATAGAAAAGAGAGAGAATTAGCATACAACAAAGGATAGAAAAGAGAGAAATTGGATAGAACAAAGGATAGAAAGGAGAGAATGAGCATACAACAAAGGATAGAAAAGAGATAATTAGCATTCAATAAAGGGAAGAAAAGAGAGAATTAGCATTCAATAAAGGGTAGAAAAGAGAGAATTAGCATACAACAAAGGATAGAAAAGAGAAAATTAGCATACAACAAAGGATAGAAAAGAGAGAATTAGCATACAACAAAGGATAGAAAAGAGAGAATTAGCATACAACAAAGGATAGAAAAGAGAAAATTAGCATACAACAAAGGATAGAAAAGAGAAAATTAGCATACAAGCCATACAACAAAGGATAGAAAAGAGAGAAAGCATGCGCATTGTATAAAAGGAAATACACACCATTTTGACCATGTAGAAATTGTTACTCCCCTTGTATCTCCTATTTTTAGCGTATGTTATATCATCTAATGTGTTCACTCAATGTATCTTTCTTCATCTTTTTGTGGACAACAAGGACCTATGGTTTCTTTAGATCAACTTCTCTTTTAGAATAATATCTTTTAAAGAATAAAATAAAGAGGTATCACACAATCAAGAAGAGGTAAGAAGAAGGGATGTCCTAACGTTTGCTCTAGCTGGGCTTTTTATTTCATCTAAGATAAAAAGATATAGGGTTAGGAATAGTGTTGGTTTCGAGGTTGAAGTTAGAAATTTGGTTAATTGTAGGTAATTACCATGGAGCAATCGTCTCAAGAGCAGGAGTCATACTAGTAGAAACTAGATGGAATTTTGACTGCGCGCAGTCGAAAATGATGCCTCCGCCATAGAGCAATTTAAACAAGTTTGGAGTTTAAATCTCCAGTGGTTCTTGAGATATCATGATAACAATATCAATGTATGGAATTTCATAAGTTGACCTCTGTGACCCTTGACCTTTGACCTACGTGCTCCAAAATCTAATCAGATTGTCTTCCTATGGTGATACACACTATCATTAAGTTTGAAGTTTAAATCTCCAGTGGTTCTTGAGATATTATGATATGGTGATACATACTATCATTAAGTTTGAAGTGAAAATTCTCCAGTGGTTCTTGATATATCGCGATAACGATCTCAATGTATGGAATTTCATAAGTTGACCTCTGTGACCCTTGACCTTTGACCTACGTGCTCCAAAATCTAATCAGATTGTCTTCCTATGGTGATACACACTATCATTAAGTTTGAAGTTTAAATCTCCAGTGGTTCTTGAGATATTATGATAACAATCTCAATGTATGGAATTTCATAAGTTGACCTCTGTGACCCTTGACCTTTGACCTACGTGCTCCAAAATCTAATCAGATCGTCTTCCTATGGTGATACATACTATCCTTAAGTTTGAAGTTTTACATCTCCAGTGGTTCTTGAGATATCATGATAACAATCTCAATGTATGGAATTTCATAAGTTGACCTCTGTGACCCTTGACCTTTGACCTACGTGCTCCAAAATGTAATCAGATTGTTTTCCTATAGTGATACACACTATCACTAAGTTTGAAGTTTAAATCTCCAGTGGTTCTTGAGATATCATGATAACAATCTCAATGTATGGAATTTCATAAGTTGACCTCTGTGACCATTGACCTTTGACATACGTGCTCCAAAATCTAATCAGATCGTCTTCCTATGGTGATACATACTATCCTTAAGTTTGAAGTTTAAATCTCAAATGGTTCTTGAGATATCGCGCTAACAAACTCAATACAAGGAATTTCATAAGTTGACCTCTGTGACCTGTGACCTTTGACCTACGTACTCCAAAATCTAATCAGATCGTCTTCCTATGGTGATAAATACTATACCTGAGTCTTAAGTTCAAATCTTAAATGGTTCTTGAGATATTGTGATAACGGTCAAACGGGACGGACGTACGGACGTACGGACGGACGTACGGATGTACGGACGGACAACCCGAAAACATGATGCCTCCGGCACCACCTTCGGTGGCGGAGGCATAAAAAGTGGTACACATTTTGAAAAAAGCCACACGTTTAGCCTGGACTTAAAAAATCCAAGAACAATTTTTTGTTTTTACTAAAAAGATGTATTAGTGGAAGTAAAGGACAAAAAACTCTTAGAGACAATAAATTGCAATAGAAAGGCTGGCGTCAAGGAACATGTAATATAAAACGTGCAATCAATGGCATAAAATCAATGGTAAGTCCTTCCTTCTAATGGTCAAATTACATAGGAACATGATTGGGAGAAAACGTCCATCACATTCATTGGATGTTGCATTGATTGCCAGGTATCATGTTATAGGGTCCCTGGATGTGTCTCTCTTTGCTCAATACTTTAAAATAAAACAAAATACAAACAAAAAAAACAAATAAAGAAACAACATAATAGAAGTAAAAAGACTATTTTGCTTAAAGTGAAATGAAATTGAAATTCAAGCATTTTGTTATTCATTTATAAAAGTTTACCGATCAATTTACAAAAGAAATAATCATAATCATAGACAATTGAAGTGATGGTAAAAAACAGTCATAACAGCTTTAGTTGGGCAAAGTTACAGAAACTCGAAAGAGTGAGAGAGTAGAAGAGGACCAAAGGTAGGCAGAGGAGGTGGTTAGAAAAGATAGAAAGGAGAGAGCCAAGAGGTACAGGAAGTATGATGATAATTTAATCTGTAAAGTATGCAATGTATGCAATTTTCCTTTTCATTTTACTGAACCAATGAACATGACCAATGCAGCAGTCTACTTTCAAAATGTACAGAAGTGAAAATCAACTTTTGGGGAGTCATATCAGGGGTCACTTTGTTTTGATAAGAATTCCATCTACATTATAAATTGTGGAATCAATGCTCAAAAGAGTAATTAAAATCACCTACCGTATCTGGCATTGATTCCACTAAAAAAAGGTGGATTCCACCCCAAAAAGAGTGAATTCCATTAAAAAAAAGAGTGAATTCCACTAAAAGAAGAGTGGATTTCATACCACTGCATTAAACATAGTACCATTAATTTTTTACTTACTTGATACATCTTTGACAAATGCTACAATGGTGCGCCCTCTCAGGCTTGATACTGATACATTTTGGACACCTGTAGACGACCTGACCGACCTTTAACCCTAGCGTGCTGAGGTGCTCTTTGGTTGCATTGCCCAGTGGAACTGCACCCTGAAGGGGAAGAGATGAAGAAGAAATAAAATAGAAGAAACAAATATAATTAGTTTGACAATATCTGATACTAAGGCTTGTCAAAACAAAATTTAGAATTTGCAACAAAATTTGATGCATAATATCTTGGTCAGTTACATAGTACATAGAGAGGCCCAATATTCAGTAAATGCGACAAACTGAAAGCTAAAGCTCTGTCTCCTGGATTAACAACATACAGATTTAGTGATCACTCAATCCAATTCGCTTATGGACTTAAACATCTTAACCTGGGACCTAGTTGTATCATAAAACTTGTTATCAATACCAAATGCTATATATGACAAATTTGCTCTCAGCCAATCAAATGCCACGATTTATGTGGCTTATAACAGTTTTTGTAATTTGTTATTGATAGCAAGTTTTATGAAAGAGGGCCTAGCCTAGAGCTAACCTCCATGATAAGAGGAGGCAAGATATCAATTCCTGTTATTCAATAATGAATGCTGAAACCACTTAACCAACAAATGGTACACAAGTAGATATTTTCCAAGATAAAGCACGACAAGGAGAAACTTTAACCTTTTTGTGTGTTACGTATGTCTTTGCAAAACCAATTTGACCTTTAGGCACAACTCGGTAGCCATTCTCCAGTTCTTTTCTTACCAATGACATAACCTAGTTTTGAGTTTTGCTCCAAGAACCACAAACATTACGAATCTAGGACAGTGTACCTCTCTGCACTTTCTTTCATCTTCGGAAACCAGTGCCCGAGATAGATTATACAATAGTCAGCCTCGATCCCCTCCCATTTCTCTCTGATGGAGCAATTGAATTTCATTCCGGCAGATGTTCAACCCAGGAACGCTATCATCGTTCAGGGAGAAAAATCTAGTCTGGCATTTGATGCCTGGATTTACTTCGTTCTAGCTCTCAAGCGCAAAAGGCTTGCAAATGTCACAAGGTTCTTTGAACTCCCAGCCTAGCTCTGTCATAAGCACTGCCCTTTGTGTGTGTTTTTATAGAGCTGTGTTCAAGAGGGTACGTCTGATCTTTCGTTTTATTAGCAATTTACTACCTGTTGTACTTTTGAGAAATGACTTAAACAAAAAAATCATGAGAGCTATTTAGTTTATGTGAAAGATTATTTGTGACTTGTAATAAGAGTGTATTTGATATCTATTGGTCATTTTCAGTCACATTTCATTTTCAGTTGTTAGTTGAGAGAACTGTTTATCGAACATAGACCTCCCTATCTTCCTTGTAGAATTTTTCCTTACTGTGACTGTTGGCTACTTAACATGCATTGCTATGGTAACCTAGGATCTATCAGAAAATGATTTTAATCTGTCCCTACCAATCTCTGCTGATTAATAGTAGTTTTGGTAGGTATATCTCTTTCGTTCGGCAACACAAGAACTTATCTAAGGATAAATCATAAGTAGTCTCTCAACCAATCTACTGGGATTTCTACAGGTATTAATTTGGTCCTTAAAGACTCGTTAAGATAAGACGCGGCCGACTGCAATGTTTTTTGAATGACGTAAACTGTTATAAGCTTCACATTTCTGACAGAGCTCAGTGAATATGTGAAGGTCCTTTGCTGTGCGCAGTTACTATTCATTTGCACATAATTGGCTGTTTACTGTGCCATATCCGAATGAGCCGTAAGGATTTACAAGAATTTCCTTGCTTTATACTTTTGATTTTTAACCGAGACTGATGTCAAGAAAATAGTGCTCATCTTTTGCCAGTAATTTGACTGATGAGTAACGTATGACAGAAAGCTTGAGATTTTTGTCTAGTTTTGGCTGGGTCATTCAATGTGGCTTATAAATACAATCTGCTAGTTTTTCCCCCATCTCTTTGACTCTTATTCTCCTCACCACATTTCTTTTCTTTATCAAAGAAACAAATCCTTTCCAATTCACTTTCCTTTCCAGAATTTAGACAGAATATTTCCATAACATCAGACATTAACCAAGTAAACGCATCTGTGGCTATCACAAATTATTATTTGCAACCAAAGAGTCACATATATCATGCAGGCCATATATCCAGATTATAACCTTGAATACTGACCACTACCCTTGAAATAAACAACAGCTTAATAATTGACCTTTATGAAGTCTGCCCCTCCGGAAATATAATAGTACTTAATATGGTCCCTAAACTAGCCTATGAATTTCATGAATAGATTGGAGGGTACTACCTGCACTTTGGGGAATCAAATTCCTGATGAAGGTACTTACAATAATTTTGGACCGATTTGAGAATTCAACCTCGGTTCAAATACTCAAAACGCACAAGCTGAAAATATAATTACCTGATGCTGGTACATATCATATCTATTACATACAGAACTTCCCCTTTCTACCTTAGATGAATAATATCTTCTATCAACGTGTGTGTTAGCACATACTAATATATCATTTTAGAACCTTAGCAAATGTTAATGTTTATCAATAGCAGTCATTAAATGAGCAACAGCAGTTTATTTATTGGTCGTAGTAATAGCACTCAAATTGTCGGTACTGGCAGGTCTTAATCCAGTTTGAGCTTGATGTATTGATGTTTATTCATTTTCTAAATACATGTACATCATTACAAATGCATGAATTTTTAACATGGTCACATGAAATCATTCAAAGAAAAAAAGGGTTGAACTGACGTCCTTGTCACTTGTAAAACATCTTGATACAATATATACCGGTACATACTATGTAAACAATGCATTATGGACTAGTGGTTGGCTAATAAAAAACTGAAAGAGAGAGAGAACGAAAAATAAGAAAGGGAAAGGGAAAGGGAGAGGGAAGAGTTGCATTCAGATAGTATCAAGTGGAACATTTAAAGTCTGGGGATACCGAACAGACGAACACCTTGATATCAATCAGCTTCTCCTTCTAATGTGTTTTGTTTTCCACTCCACCAGTCCGTTTGTTTTCTTTCCGAATCTACACAGAGCAACTGATCTTTCCATAATGTTACTAAACTTTTGTTGTAACAGAAAAAAGAAATTCCCTACGACCCTCTGAATATGCCCAAATCTCACATGACAGGTGTACCATTCAATACACACAACTTCATTACACTTAAATGCTCTTTAATCCTGAATTATTTGATGTCTCATATTCAACCACCTAGTTTTCTTTTAACGTAATACATGTACTATAAATTTGTGGTGATTGAGCCCCTTTAATAATGGAAAAATATACTGAGCAACATTATAATTCACAATTGTTGTGCTTCAAGGAACTGCTTTTTTAAATCTAAAGCCCACTATTCAATTTTATAAATTTTTTAAAAAGACTTAATAAACTACCAATAGTTTATCAAAATGCATTGATATGTAAATAATTCATCTCTTGGAAAAAGCACAGTAATGCTTCTTCATTATTTTCTTGTTTCACTGCCCATCAAATTACACTAATGCCAAAAGAAAACTTCAAAATGAATATTTCTCTTTTTTGCCCCCTGCACTTTTAGGACAGTGCTAGTATGCTAGCACAACCTCACTTAGTACTATTCAGGACTTTTCAAAACAATGCGACTCCTTCTGACGCAATACAATAACAATACACACATTTAATTGAATTGTCGCCCACTCAGGCATCGTGAATCTATGCCACGGCAAGAAGTCACTAACCCTAGTTACCCTCCCATATTGGTACATGCCAATGAACTATTAAAGATCGTTCACATAAGCCAAAGTAGACCACCAAATTTAATGCCCAGCATCTTTATGTGTACTAAATAAATGGCAGGGGGTGGACAGAGAGTAACTGCGTGGAACAAAGGTCCTATGCATACTCACTTACTATCTGTGAGCTATGAGATACATAAATGAGAAGTGCAGCATGCTTCTTCTTTTTTGTTATGGTGGTAAGCCGCCGGTTTACAGAGGCATGTGTGAATGGGCCTTTGAAGAGGAGAAAGAACAGGTAAAGATTGACTGGCACTGCCATCCTAGTAAGACATTCACATCTAAGGAAGATGACAAACATGGTACGGTGAAACCTATATATGTAGACGGCTGAAGAAAAGCAGTCTACATGTATATAGGCAGGTGGTATCTATGTACTGTATATGCTCCTTCAGAAACGCTATTAAAGGGAATCGGAAAATATGTTATATGTGAAATGTGATAAGCCAGTATCTGTGTGGAAGAATATTTAAATTTTAAAAAATTTCTAAATTAGACATGACCCTGACATACATATATATATATATATATATACATATATATGACAGCATATTTCAGTCTTGTAACTAATTGTACTATCTTGTGATTCTCTTTTGAATCTCTTCTTCTCCACTCTCCACCCCTCTCTTTGTGGCCAATGGCAAATATATTTTTAATTCCCTGTGACATGTCTCTTCATCCTTTTCTCATAATTATGTTTTCAACCTTCTCTTCCTCTTTCCCATGACTCTATGCTTGAAACAAACAATTTTTTTTTTCCATGTGCACAAAAGCCTACAAAGACATCTCCCTCAGCCACATTGTCTTTCCTCTTCATAATTGTATCCCTATCCCCCTCCCCTTCCTCCCCTCCCCTCTCCTCTCCTCTCCTCTCCTCTCCTCTCCTCTCCTCTACTCTACTCTTCTCTTCTCTTCTCTTCTCTTCTCTTCTCTTCTCTTCTCAGCCACATTGTCTTTCCTCTTCATAAATGTATCCCTATCCCCCTCCCCTTCCTCCCCTCTTTTCTTTTATTCTCTTCTCTTCTCTTCTCTTCTCTTCTCTTTCTCTTCTCTCTCTTCTCTTCTCTTCTCTTCTCTCCTCTCCTCTCCTCTCCTCTCCTCTCCTCTCCTCTCCTCTCCTCTCCTCTCCTCTCCTCTCCTCTCCTCTCCTCTCCTCTCCTCTCCTCTCCTCTCCTCTCCTCTCCTCTCCTCTCCTCTCCTCTCCTCTCCTCTCCTCTCCTCCCTCTCTCTCTCTCTCTCTCTCTGCCTCTGTCTCAGTCTTTCTACTCCCATATGACAATGTAGGTGGCAATTTAGTTTTTATAATTCTCCTCTG